TGAAAAATACCTCACGATGTTTGTTTCATAGTCAAAATAAGTGTTTTACCAGCAGTAGATGTGAAGAGGTATTTTTAATTGCGGAAGTTTAGCTTTAATACAGCTTCATTTACCTCCATCCTGTTGCATCTTCTTTAGCCTCATTCTGATTCCCACAGTATAAAGTTAATATTTCTCTTACAAGGCCCAAAATAACTACCTTTTCTGGTTTACTTCTACTCTTTTGTATTACATAAGCTTCTGCTGCTGGGATATCTGAAATAAATCAGCCAGCTACCAGGACTGGTCTGGCTAAGCTCTTTGAAGTGGATCTACTCACTGAAGAGTCTGCTTATACCCTAATACAGAGTACTTCCTTACAGCCATCATCTTCTTTCGTTGCCCTTCCTTCAGGCAGGAGTGGAATGTTTTGCTTGGCATATGTGTACATCTGAGCACTGTCTTAGTTTGTTGGAGTTGCCATGAACTGTGATGCCCATGAGAAGCAATATCGACTGACTTGACTAGTTCTTGCATACTTTTGCCTTCTGTGCAGATGAGCTGCTTTTGAGGAAGATGTTCTTTAGCTTCCTACTCTGCTGTGCTTTGCACAGGCAAGGTAGAGCAATCTATACGCTGGGTTTAGATCGTAATTTTTTTTGCTTGTTTGTTGGTTTAGGTTTCTTCGTGGTTTCTTTCTCCCCCGGGGGGCGGGATTTTTTTTGGAGTACTGAGGCTTTTGGTTTTTGGTTTGCTATGCTACGGCAAGCCAGCGTGCATGGTGGGACCCTACACCTCTGTTTATGAAGTTTACCACCCTTCAGATGCTTTTAAATGTGCTCTAGTCTAATGAGCAGGTGGGCTACTGTAGTTGTGGTAGTTGTTAGGGACACAAAGAATGATGAGATATGAAGGAAGAGATATTTTTTTGTGCTTTGTCCCTAAAGTGATTATCTATAGGTTTCTAGGGCTTTAGCCAGTTGTTTGATTCAAGGACTTTGGCTGTATATTTTGGAAACACAGTTCTGTATCAAGCACGTGGGAAAGCTAATCTGTTTTCCAGTTCTGGTGTATGGAAAGGAAATGAGTGACAGTGGCTTATTCTCCATGACAGATCTACGTGTAAGTTCTACTATTCTAGTTCATATACTACCCAAAGAGGTGCCTTTTGCCTCCTTTTTAAGAAAGAACACGATTTCCCAGAGAATAAGGCTGTTCTGTTTATTTGTGCCCTGGAGTGCTTATATATGTTTACGAAGTATTGACGTACATGTTTTGTTTCCTGACAGCCAAGGAAGGTTCTCTCTAAAGAGGCAAACAGCTCAGCTAAAGATTGTAGCTGACATGGGAGAGTTGTTGATGTGACTGTACTGTGGCTACTGATGATAGGTTTATGCTGCTGTTTTTGCTGCCCTAAAGCATTTTTTGCTGAAGGTAGGAGTATAGCACAGGCAGTGAGAACTAGACGGCTGCTCATTCTGTCTGCTGGCTTTGCTTGTATTAACACTCGGCATAGCTTATAAGGAGATCTTTTGTGTAACCCAAAGTTTGTCACTGTGCAAGCAACACCTTTGTCTCTGACTGCATTTCTTTATTGGTATATGAGGAACATAGATTTGCATTATGGGATAGAGGGGAAGATGTGTGGCTTGGGGCAGGAGGAAAGAACCTAACTGTGCCAGCTGCAAGAAATTCTTAGCCAGGTTTAATAACCTGAAACATAAAATAAATGTTCAGTTCATCATGTTGTTCTCTAGAAAGCAAAAGATTTGATTAAGACATTTTTGAGCCACCAGAGATACATTTAAAGACTTTTAAAACCTTGAATCCAATGCTCATCTTCTCCTGAATGCAGAAGTATGTGTGGGGGATGTGGAACGCCTGGTTTGGTTATAGAAATAAATGTTTATCTGTGAGCAGTGCTTTTGGGGATCTATAATTCTTTTGAAAATTAATCCCTGAGGGACTGCCAATGGCCCACTTGTTCAAAAGCCTTGAGCAAGATCTTTAAATGAATTGCAAAAAGAAGGAAGTGTTTTGATGCTGAAAGAAATTTGTCAACATACTGTCAGTGTATCAGGCTGTGCCTCTTCCTCTCACCCTTCCTTTTGTGGAATCCTCTGTTGCTTGATCTTTTTTTGTGAAACAAAACTGGGCTGTGCCAGGGATTAGAAATAAATTTATTCCTTCCTCAATACTTTCTTTCTTACATCTTCTGGGAGAGATACATTATATTTGTAAAAGGGTATTTTCACGTAGAAGCAAAGAATAAAATCTAAAAAAAATAAAAGTAAATATCCCACAGACCATTAAGAGCTGATTCCAAGCTCTGGATAGCATTTTTTTTTTTTTTCTGTGATAGAAAAGCAGTTAAATGAGTAGTCAAGAATAAGTTTTGCTTTTAGATCGGGCATGATGAGAGTGGTTGAGAGAAAGGTGGAGCTGAGAGAGGCTTGACGTTTCATATGGAAAGGGAGGAATTTGTGTAAATCTTGATTTTATATTTCTGTTAAGTTAAAACACCTTCAACACTGGATGCAACCAGTAAACTGAAGTTGTACCATACCGAATTTTAAACATCAAAGCTACACTTGGGAAAACTTAGTATACAAAATGACTTCTGCAAGCATAGTGATTTGTGCTAACAAGCATTGTATTTGCGTACATGGCTATCTAAGTGTGTTAGTGTGGATTCTGTGATTGTAAGCAGTCTCTTTTCTCACTCTGTTTTTTTCCTGTTCTGCTGGTACTGTCACCTGGCAAAGCCTTTAGCCTTGTGGCCATATCTTCTTTTGTCAGGCTTTGTCCACAGCAGCTTCCACTGCTTCTATTACAGTGACCCGGACCTTTTGAACTCATGGACTAGAAACAGGTGCTGTTCTTGGTGGAGGCCATTCCTAATCATGTTAGTCCTTGGACTTCTCAGAACTCTCACAGCTAGGTTTGTGACACACTGTCGTGTTTCTTTTGTGGTCCTTTTTCTCTGTAAAACTGCAGGTTACTTTGAGCTGAAGGAGACTGAGTAGATTCACATGTATGTTTTTGCTTTGCACATAAGTACTGCTCTGTTGGTATAGATCACTCCCTTCGCCCTATTTATCATTTCCCTGCTGCTTCCCCAAATGGCCATGAGCCACGTACGTTCAGGGGTATGACGAATGGAAAAAACGTTGTTAATAGAACATGAAAATACGTTTAGAAAAGAGTGAAAGGGAGCTTGCCCAAAATATTTGAATTTCAAGTGGAAGTATCTAGCTTTGTTAACTGAATGTATTATTTTGCCACCTTTCTTGTAAATGACATCATGATAAAAAGACCTCAACTTGTTTTCATATGACTGCATATTAATAGCTTCTAGCAGGTGCTCGAGAAATCAAGGCAATCTATGAAATTTTCAGAATACCCCTCCCCCAAGGGAAGCTTGTTTCTAAAAAAGTGCATGTGTTTTTAGTCTGGCTTATCAAATGTGTGAGACTGTGATCTGTTTGTACTTCTGCTGTTTTCAGACTTCTGCTTTTAGGACTTTTTTTTTTTTAGTTAATATTTTTTTTGCAAGGATTCAAAGTGCATCTGACATAAGTGGAAATTCCACATGAGCTTAGCTATGCAGATGTCAAGGCACCTCTAAAGCATATCATTTTAGGGTTCCCAAAGTGCAGAAACAGTTGAGATAAAGCTTCAAGGATGGAGAAAGAAACAAACAACCACTCTCTAAAATCTTTTGTTACCTGAACTGCAATGACTCCAACAATCCGGTGCAGAAAACTACAGAACTATGTTTCATCTGCAGATACAGACTCATGGATATTCTTTGTAGCTGACAGTAGGCAGTGAGGCGTAATTCCTTTTGTTCCTCTGGTTATTTAGCAGAGTAGGTAAATTTAGGTCAAACTCTCAATCATTTGATCACATGCCTGGAGATATAATACATTTCATCTAATAGCCAGGGGAAACAGTCATTTAACCAAGTAACTGTTTCATTTCTGTAAGTGACTAATTTGACAGACAAGGCACAGTTCAAAGGAAAACAATAGATCTACAATGGGATTGTTCTCAGCTTGACCTTTGTGCCCAGCTGGATGCCAGTGGTGCCTTCTAACATGGAGATGTTTGCCAGACTGAGATGAGTCTGGCAACATCATGCATAAAACACAGTTTAAGTTACATTACACAGTGCGCTGCATCATGAATCCACTAGAAATAGTTTGCCTCTATCTGTTCCTGTCCCATGGGTTCTGAAAGAGTATGAAGAGCGTTTAGCCAAGTAGAAAGGCAAACAGCTTTCTATACCTTTAATTTCAGAATAGTGCAAGCTTGTGTAATTTTTACCCTTGTTTATACTGAAGATCCAATTCAGCACTTCATTGCAGACACTGGCTATCAACATAGGCAGCTAAAACAGCAGGTGGATTTAAAATGAAGGGACAGCTGTATGGATGAGCTGCTGTATAAGCAGATTATAAAATATGCAGTTTGGAGAAATGAAATTTATCTGCCCTCAGTGAAAAGTCCTTTGCTTTTGGTTGCTCAGTAAGTTCAGCCATCATCTCCTGAAGACCAATTTTGATACTGTTATTATAGCTGTGACGAATTTCAGCAGAAGTCATAACCAGCAGACAGCCACTGGAGAAATGGTTTTGTTAAATGAGATTTTTATTTTCTGATTTATCTGCAAGAATTTGCAAATTGTTCTCACCATTTTTTTTTTCTTTTTTCTTTTTTCTTTTTCTTTTCTTTTCTTTTTTTTTTTCCAGACAGAACAAGAGTTTTTCTCTGCAATCTTACTACTACACCTTTTATCCTGATGCTCATTGATGTGCCTCCTTGAGAGAAGGTCTTTATTGTACCTTCATCCATGATGAAAGTTTGCAGCAATTACCTCTCATTCTGTTCTTTCTCTAGAGTATAACATGTGCATGATTTTCTCAACTATATGCCAGCTAATAAGCCTATTCAAAATAATGAGCCCCAAGGACACAGGAAAAACAAAGTTAATATATACAATTTAGTTTCTCAAAATCTTTGATTTCAAAAGCAAAATTTATTTTGCTGTTAATCACATAGCTTTCTTTTTTGCACTTTCACTTACCTTGGGTTCTCTTGTCAGTGCAGTTGCTCTTGAATTCTTACTTTGTTGCATTTTTTTAACTCATTGTGATACAGTGATCTCATGTGTTAATGTGCCTGTGATTCCAAGTTGTATGTCAGATTGCCTGATGCTTTGCCTTAACTTAGCTTCACCCCCTTCCATTGTAAACTGCTGAAGTTGCTGTCTTGTCACTGCCTGCCTCTTATGCACACTTTCAATAATGGTACAGTTACAAACTCTTTCCATTCTGTTTTAGATTCCCACCAAAATTTTTAGGGTTCTGTCTACATAGAGCCAGAACATCAGCTGAAGTTTTCACTGCCTGGATACTTCATTCAAAATTTCTCACGTTCAGATAGATATAGAGAAATGGTTTTCAAAAGAATGTCTTGCTTCACCTTCCTTCTTCCCTCTTATGGTCAATTTCATCCATGTTCAGCACCTTGTACATAAAAAGATGTCTAATGCAACTGAAATAATGAAACTGTCAGGTTGCCACTCTTAAAAAGGGTGGAGAACTGGAAAACAACGCAGGCAAACACTGACCTCTGATTCTCTTAAATGGAGCATATGTACTAAATTAGTGTAGCTACTGATACCGTTTTATCTTCCTATCTGATCAAATCCAAAATAGTGTGCTTATTCACATGCACTATCATGTATGTATGTATGTTCTATGTGGATGATAGCTGGGCTAATGTGCTTGCTATTATTTTTTGTTTTTAAATGTGCTGTGCACCTCTGAGAATAAGATAATCTTTATTTAGGCACCTACATGGATTTTTTTCTTTACTACTAAATGTTTAGAAATTAAGTAACTGGCTTCATTTCTGACATATGTTGGGAATTATGTGTCAGAACAGTGTGTAACATAGAATTCTCTGGAGACTCTTCTCCCTTGGTTTTACTATTAGTAATGTACACATCTAACGTTGTAACTGAGAATGGAGCCGATTTTATGCTTCCTTTTCAGGTCTTTCCAATCCTCTCAAAGCTAGAGGCAATAAATGGGCTTGTTATTGCGTCCTACAGTTGATAAACTATAACTTGTTTGTAGGGGGTGGGGAGACCAAGTCTGCAAAGTGAGGAGCCACAGTGAAGAGCACATCTGCCTCCTCATAGTGGTATTTCATCCTGAGTGCTCAGCTGCTGGCAGTCTGCTATAAAGCAATTATTTGTTGAGTTGTTTCTTGTATACACACGGTTTCTTCAAATACTTTAAAGCTATTTACCATGATGCTTTAATAATTTCATTAAGTAAAAATAAGCTTTCAAAATGCCGTGACCAGGTAAGGTCCAAGAAGTGGTCAAGTATGCGATTTGGGGATGCTGATGCTCTCTTGATTTGTAGATGGCTTTTGAGTTGAATATACAGTAGTTCATCAGGATTGAGAAGCCATCACAAAGAACTGCAGGATATAGATTCTGCTAATCTAGTGACAGAGAAAAACACTGATGAGGTTGTAACCATAACTTCTTTCTGGTTTTCAGCAGAAATCCACTGGACTTGCTTCTCTTCCTAAATGGAAGTTTAAAGTCCAGTAGAACATTAGAGTTTGTTAGATCTACTAACTTTATCTTATTTTTTTACTTCAAGTTGTGAGGACTAAAAAGAAAAGGAAATGACTGTACTGATTTATCATATGGTTGCTACTGGACGGGAGGGGAGGAAAAGGAAAAAAATATTCTGATTTGGGGCTTTTTGTAGTCCTTTTTGTTCTATCTTCCAAGCAGAAGTTTATCACAGGGTGAAAGTAAGGCAAAAGCAATGCTTCTATAGCCTCAAGAAAGAAGAGGGAGATGGAGATGCTAAAGTATCTTGACAACCAAGTCCATATCTAAGCAGATGTATTTGCTCTTCACAGTTTAGATAGATTAGCAAGAACATCTTATTTTATTGCTTTATAAACAAACAATGGTAAGAGCATACACCTGTGTTAAATGACATGATTTCTTTTCTAGTGCTGAGACAGATTTGCTCTGGGCTCAAACCTGGTCTTGGGGATGCTGGTAGCTGCTAGCTACATTGTGAGCACAAGGACACACTGTATCAGGATAGCCTTGTCTCAGTCACACAGATTTCAACTTGCTTTGTATTTTAAGGAGGAAAAAAAAACAGAAAAAAAACAGGAAAAAAAAAAAAAAAAAGAAAAAACGGCAGCTTAATTTGTAGATGGCTAAGGGTACTGATTGTGCTGGTTTTTTTTTTTTTTTTTTTTTTTTTTTTTTTTTTTTTTTGTGAGTAGATGCTATCTTTAGGGAGATTTCTTCTGTCCTTCTACTCTAAAAATAGAAGAAGTATTAAGTTTATGAGCTGTGTGTTTTATTCTTTTGATTTCAATTTGAGTAACAAAGGTACCACACCCATAACACGTAGATATTTACATCATGTGTAGCATTAGCATACAGTTTTAGTTGCTTCTTGAGAGCTAAGACAAAAGTCGTTGGTTATATCACACATTTTTATGTTGAAACACATATATACATTCTTTCTGTATGGAGTTTACTTTATTCAGAAAACTTATTAGAAATTACACATTCCCAAGTCCTGGGCTTTGCCTGTGCAGAAAAATAAAATAAAATAAAAAAAAACAATTGCGATCCCAGCACCAGCAATAACAATTTGAGGCTTTGTCCACGTGTGGTAGATAAACTGCCTACTCTGAAATCTCAAGGGAAGCAAGCTGTTTCTATGAGGTATTTAAGGATGGGGCTCATTATACTCATCTCTTCATGGCTGACTATCTGGTTTGTTCTTTGATAAGACTAAAGACCCTCTGTAGACTAGAAACTGTTTCTGCTAGTGAATAAACAAAAGAAACTCAATTCTGGCAGTTAAGACAGCTGCAGTGTTCCAGATGGCTCCACATTATTTGAACTAACTCTAATACTAAACAGGTAGGATTTCAAAAACTAAAAGTGCTGTGTAGATTTTTTTTCGCTCTGTTCTTTCCTGTCTCTTTTTAAATTTTAAGACTCATTGATGAAGACCATTGTTAAAGAAAAAGAAAGAGCTACAAAACACGTGGTGCTTCACACCAAAAGTCTGTGAGACTGCAAGATAAACTAAACCTTCTCTTTGATTAGAGCTCTTAAAGTAAACTCATCATAGGAAGAAAACCCATGCTGATGATATCTGTAAATGATACAGGCTTGCCTAAGTGTGTATGTATATATCATCTCTTACAGTATCATATGTTTTCCAATGTGGTAAACAAAGCATTTTTGTAGAGGGAGCTGAATAGGAGTTAAATATTTTATGGCAAAATATAAACTGTGTTTTGCCAGATGGAGTCTTCGTATTTATGAATTGCGAATCCAAATCTTTCTTTTAAAGGGAAGTTATTCAACAAGAAAGGCAAACAGATTAGGAACATGATGGGAGTGAATGGGCATGTACACTAATAATAGAAAAGTTCCAGGCAGTGCTGGAAGCAGTGTATTTGCAGAGAAATGTATTGATCCTAAGTTAAGAGTAGATTAGCAGAAGGAGAGTCCAGAAGGACCAAGAGCTTTGTTTCATTGATTCTTCAGTCTTCTCACAGAATTCCTGGGACTTGCTTAGAACAGCAGAGAAGATGTATTTAAAATTACCTATTGGAAAAGGATATTATAACTTTGTTCTCTTTTTCTTTGACTTTCAACAAAACTTTGAAAATACTGGTTTGAATATTATGGTAGTTACAGTAAATAACTTACCGTATTTGAGCGAATGCATGCTTATATCCTAGACAGAAAACAAAAATTAAAAAATTAAAAAAACAAAATTGCCTGATCTGTTTTGACTATCTGAATTATATTAGATCTTAATGTGATGATGATACTAGGCTTCCAGGCTAACCAGCTATTACTAGTTGACTATGAATTGACAATGATTTAAGGAGGTACAAAGTAGGAGTGACTCCAACCTAATGAACATTAGTGAAATAAATTCCCTGTGAGACCAACATCAGGTGGAAATGACCTTGGATGCAGTTAAAGTATCTCAAGTACACTGAAATTTATGAGGTTTTCAGTTCTATTCAGAAAAGGAATTTTTGTGTATTATTATTAGCTGCTGAATTGCAGCTCACTTTTTGCATTTTGCAGAGGCTCCTAAATCCATGAGAAGATCAGGACTGCTTTTCAGTTAAAGGCTTTTTCAGCTGAGCCTTGCACAAGAACTGTGGCCAATGATGTGGCTATGGAAAGATTTATGCTGGGCAGGGAAATTCTTTTGGGATGCCCCCTCTTTGCTCTTTGTATAGAACTCTGTGTCCTTGGAAGTCTTTAGAGCACTCATGTAGATGTGTGTGGTGTGACTATGTAGGTCAGACGTTGCACATAACCTTTCCTAGTTTAACACCACAGAACTGAAGATGTAGGTTAGGCTTCACAGTCATTAGGTCTTGCAGTGACTAACTGACTAATTTATTTTTGTAATGGAGCTGAAGATATATATTCTTTTCCAAAAGATGGAATAGTCTCCAGTTATGTCTAAAATACTTGTAGCACAGGCAGTGAGTTGTCCAGTCTACACACAATGTCTGATATGTATCCTTCGTTATTAATAATAATTAAAAACCCTAATGTACTGTACTTAACTCTCCTGAACTGGTTTTGATGGCATGTCAGGGCCTGCATTTGACAACAGTGACAGCCCTTGCAATAAATGCCTTCACAGCTGACTGAGCCATACACGGTGGTGTGTACCTCATTGACTGTTCCTATTCCAGTTTGGGAATCTGTGGGGATCAAGTATTTTTGATATTTTCATCAATATCTCAATGTTATAAGGCAGCGTAGCTTTGCAGAACATGACTGCCAGTTTTTCCACTGCTACAAATTAGTAACAGGCAGAGACTGTCAGACTTCACTCCTAGCACATGTTTTCTGGAATGTCAGTACCTGAAATGTTGTACCAGAATGAAGAGAACATGAGTCTAATCTGGTGATGGACTTCAACTGCATCACTGCAAATGCAAAAATTTGTTGTGGGATGTTCAATATCTGGAGGACAATCACCTCAACCAGCCTGACCTCATACAGTCAGGATGCTGTCAGTGGATGAAGGAAGAAGCAATTATGGCAGTGAGAACTCCCCAGAAGACACTGTGTCTTGTTTTCTTAGAGGAAAAAGCAGGTGTAGGAACATGGGTATTGTTTCACTTAAAATACTCTTGCAGTGTTTCCCTGCAGCTGCAGCACTGAGTCTCTTCCCCAGCACTTCTTTCCCATGCTTTCTTGAAGACCATGTTGTTCCAGCACAGACTGGGAAGGTGATTTTGGACAGCAAGTGCCAAAACTGTGCTAGGTAATGTTATGAATAGACTTTTTGCACATTGAGTCATTCACATGTAATGCTAATGTGAGTGCTGAAATATTTGTGAGAAACGAGAAAACAGTGCAGTATTTCTTGGAGACCTGTAGTTTAGGACATGAAACCCTGGAGGACAACTTACCTTCAGAATGTTTTAAACAGTATGTTTTGTGAAGATGTTTTGTCCACAAGCCAGGCATTAATCCATAGCCCCCCACCCCCTCAAAAAAAAAAACAAAACATACAATGGAGATGTAAGGAGTTTCAGCATCACCTTCACAGATATGTTGGTAGCTCACTTTGGCTGTTACTTCCCAATGTAACATAACCTGAAAGTGAAGGTGCTTGTCCTCAGTCCTTTGTTCCCTTTAGTCTTTAACCTGCTTTTGTTATGAAATGCATCACACTGTTTCTACAGCTAAACGCAATTAAAGAGGTCTGTTATAACTTGTTACTAGTACTCCACTTTTTTAATAAAAGCCTTTGTGACACTTCAGAACCGTTTTCTTAATGAAGCAACTGCTTAGATGTTGGGATATATCATTTATATCGGTATATGTTGCTTAAAGGTGGGAAACAGTTTTCATTCCATGGGTTGGTTTGGCAGGCACTGCTATGACCTGTTACATGGCTTGTTAATAACCATCCCACTTACCTGATTCAGTATTGGCCATGAACCATGCTCCCTAAGGCTGTAATCTTATTAATGTTCATAGGGCAACTAGAATGGGACAGAGTCAGTATTGGCATGGAGAATGCCCTTGGGAAAACCTGAAGTGCTGAAGGAAGGTTGTCTGAATTGATAGATAGTAGTTTTTCTTTGCAAGTCCATGCTTTACCAGTGGTAGCGTGTAGTTGGCAGGCAATTTCTAAGTTGGTATCTTTTAAATGTCAGACTTTTTTAAACTAGTTGTGGTAATGAGATACCATGGTGACATTTACAAGCAGCAAGAAGCATTAGTCTGGAGATTCTAGCTCCCTCCAGCAAGCAAGAGGTGAACTTTGAAAACCTGCCTCTTCAGGAGTTGCCAGTGAGACCGTGCGTGCTGATACGCTGGTTGCAACACTGATCGGTGTTAAGATGACATGAGCAAGCAATATGTTTGCTGGCTATCAGTTTTCCTTTAGTCACATAAGCGAATTTTAAACCAAAAGCTATAGCTGACAAAATACTAAGATAAACAATGCCAGTAAATACCACTACTTTTCCATGTGGCACTATAGTTTCTTAGGCTGTCTCACCTTGCTGGTTTTGGAGGTTTATGTGTGGAACTGAGAAATCAAAGGGAAAACTGACCTGAAAGAGCTGACATGGGTGTCTGGGTTGTCAGCCATCAGAAAGAAAACCATGGGTATGTCAGAGGACCAAATAATGTAGAAAAAAATCTAAGTAAAAATGGCTCTATAAAGCCTGAAAGAAGGAAGAACATCTCTACAGGCTGAAACTCAGCTATCTGGGGAGATGAGTAGGGGAAACTTGCCTGTTATAAAGACAATAGGCTTCTAAGAAAACCAAATTAATTTGAGGGATATTTAAGTACTCAGAATTCCTGGAAATAAGGAAATAACAAGACTTTATTCTCTGTATAAATATAAACCACCAGATATCAACAAACAACCCCTGCAGTACAAGATTTTGCTCAATTGACTGTGAATGCAGAGTAATAGCAGGTCTCTGTTTTCCTGTAAAGTTGAGCGGAGTGACACCTCTGTGCTTTGCAGAACTCTGCCTCAGACCACAGAAATCTGAACTGCTGGGCCCCAGATAGGAAGTTTTAGATTTGCTTTAAAGGGAAGAGATGGCAATGGTTAGGTATGTCAGAATTCCTTTACAATTAAACTGATTTATTACATACTTTGTTTTTCATAGAGATGAATGCTGAACATTCAGACTCACAGGGTATGTTCCCAGACATAACAGTGAATGAAATTGCAACTTAAAGAATCTCTTGGTGCTTTAGTGATGGTGCATACGTGAAACAAAGAGCAGAAACTGATTCTTATCCTTCTTAGACGATCTAGACTCATATACTGGCATGAAGTTTACCTCATCTCCTGCGTCTGTGTTTTATTTCTTTACTTGAAAACATCTGTGTTCATATTACTACAGATGAAAGATTTTCTTTGAAAGAGAAAGTGTCTGAGCAGTGCAACTTTTTCTTCTATTTTATCTTTTTCTACCACAGCTCTGTTAAAGTTTCCTTAACATACTTCAGTGCTGATATCTGGGCTGCAACCTGTTTGCCCTTTTAAAATGATTATTCCAGAGTTAAATGGCTCTGTAACATACCTGAAATAGATTATTAAATCATGGAAAGCATTTAAGAACAGAACCCTTATGGGAAACACGTGGTTTCTCTATCCTTTTCCTTTATATTAATTGATTTCTTCCTCGACAATTTCCGCTGATCATCACAGGGTTCATATATGTTAATGTGTTAGTTCAGAGAGGGAATGCCTTGTTGATGTGAATCTTTCCTTCTCTGCCTCACTTTAGATTATGTTGATGTTGAATTGTCAGTCAGAACAAAAGCTGAGTTCCTTTTAGAATAAAAAAAAAAAGTAAAGGCATGATACAGGAGCATACTTAAAGCATTCTAGCTGCAAAAGGCCAGCAGGATCTAGTTTAAAGTATTTTCCTTTCCTTCCAAAAATACCTGTAGTTTAGCATGGGTTTTTACTCCTAGCAAACATCTGTTTTTTTTTTTTTAAACAGACTTTCCTTGTTTCTTTTGATTCTTCTGCTTGCTAACAAAAGTATAGCCAAAATTGTGCCGTACTCTCATCAAACTCTGGAAGATTATTTAAATTAAGGTGTGAATCCTATAAATAGGTTTAAATATTTAGCATTTAGCATTTTGGTACTGTTTTCAACAGAACAGTTTTTTAATAAATGACAGCCTACAAATTCAGTTGAGACTTTATTGTCAATAATACACCACACTGCAAAATACAAGTATTCAGCATAGCAGTTTGATATTTTAGTTTTTAAAGCTCATGCTTACCATTACCTGTTTAATTTCTTTTGTTATCAGATATGTATGACAGAAGTCTAATAGGGAATTCTATTGATGTTGGCAGGAGTGAAATAGAACTCCGTACTTTCATAGCTACTTTTTCCAGAGATTAAAAGACTAGTAGATATTTTGATCACTAAAATAAATGTGAGGGGCTCAAGCTATATGAGGGAACACACCTCTGAAGTACAGGATGAGCAATTCCTCAGTGACAGCAACTTTCATGGACCTGAACTTGCGGACTGAATTTCACTAGCTGGCATTACAGAATCCCAGAGAAAAGCTATCTTGTTTCAAAGCATTTGCTATTTGTTTTTATATAGTAGCTTTCCTTCTAAACTACTCGAATATGGATAGCTTAACTGCCACCACTCCATCAATGGCAAGGGTGCCTTTGAAGAACTGTCAACATCATTTCTCTGAATGCTTCTTACTGAAGTCAATGAAATTAAACAAATAATATGCTTCTTTCTCTCTGCAGATTCTGCAGATTGCCTTTATGTTGGAAGTATTTCTTATGTATAATACTCAGCATTTACTGAGGCATAAGGCTTGGAAATGCCTCTTTGCTGATAAATTAGTAAAATCCATTTACTCTCTGAATTCTCTTTCAATGATTGTAAAGTGCACAATAATGAGAAAATGCACCCAGAGAAACCTCAGCTTTAATGACGCAAAGAGTGAAGCCAGTTTTGTGTTATTCCAACATGTTCCAGAGGTCTTGTTTGACAGTTTGTTCCTGTATAGCCTGTTACCTGAGATCTGTGTATGGCTTTCCCTACAGAAATAATTCCTGGGAGTGGAAGAAGAGCTGCAGCAGCCTCTGCATTGATTGCTATGTGTGAGGTGCTTGGCCTATTATAACGCAATAACACTTGAATTAGCAAACTCTTTAACATGGTTGAAGCGATGACAAGAAAAGAAAATCTATTCTGCCAAGTGAGCAAGTGTAAGGTTACCTAGCAGAGAAGAAACTTCTACACTTACCTGTGAAATACCACAAAATGGCATCTACACTTATACAACTTCTGCTAGATACATATGGAAAGACTTTTAATGGAGAAAATCTGTGTGGTAACTGAAAATTGAGGAAAAGCTGTTATTTGGTGGGCCTCCTGTTCCAGAGAAGCTCTGTGTAAAACAGGGAGATCTGTATGCTAGAGAACTTAAGGTTTAGTCTTGGAGGATACACTATTTAGAGAGTCAGGTGGTTGTGACCTAGGTGTATTTAGTGTACAAGACTTTTTTAAAGCTAAAGCTATGAAGTGCTTGTGCTTCCTTAAAATGTAAATGTATGGGTATTAAGCTGCACACAGGGTTAAAGATCATTTTGCTTCAGTAGTCATGTGCCACAGAAGAAATGAGCTGAAGATCAGAGTGTCCTGAGTCACAGGCTTAGTAGTCATTGATTCAGAACAGCAATTGGACCAGGAAGTATCATGAAATAGTGACAGAGAGAGACAGCATTCTGGAAATGTATCAAGGATGCCAAAGAAAGAGATAATCTTAAGCCTGTCCAAACCAAGCAAGCCTAAAGTCATGAAGGCCAAATATGGAGGGCTGAATCCCAACAGCTTGATGAATGTCTGGACAGCTGTTTCAGACTGCACTGTGTTTATAAACGGAGCTGGCTGGTGAAGTCCAAATCTCATTCAGTCACAGGATACTCACACTCCAAAACCCAGCAAGACTCCTTGGCAAAAAAAAAAAAATCCTTCAGTGAGAGAGTGCTCTTGATCAACTAACAATGCTGCATCTAGTAACCAGGGGATCACCAATGTGATGCTTCTGCTGGACCAGTAGAGTCCAAGTGATTCCTGTCTTATTCCAGCTTATTCCCAGCTGCTATAGATATAGAATAGATAGTAGTGGATACAGATAGTAATGGAAACAACATAAAGGCACATCCAAGAGGAACAGGAAAAGAAGAGAGAGGATGTGTCTTTTCATTCGTTTAAATGTATAAGACAGATTCTCCTCAATTAATGGAAGAGAATTTTGATGAAGTAACTGTACATCATCTGAAGCAGAGTAATTTAACCTTAAGTAGAAAGCTTCATTAGTGTCTTGGCAGCCAGGTCTAGCCTATCATTTCTAGTACAAAGACGCTTTGACAAGTGCTGTATACTTTAACCGTGTAGATTACAAACACGGTAGTGAAACGCTGCTGTGCTTTAGCTAGGTATTGTAGGAAGGGATGGCTCATCAGATTTTGGGTTCAAGCTAGTGCCTTTTCCTGGCAAATTTGTATAGCTGGTATACTTTGAAGTATTTTCTTTAGGTAGTTGGAACTTTGTATTTCTGTGTGCAATATCAGTTGAATTTTTTAGTTTATCTTCTGTTTTATGCTGCTTAACTAATAACTTTTGAATTTTTTTTTGAATTGAAGAATGGTCTGTTTAGTGTAATCATGACACAGATTTAGACATGAAAGTAAAAATATTAAAAGATTCTGGGGGACATGGATTGAACAAGTTGAAATGTTCTGGCCACTAACATCCATTCCCTTTTCCTTTCACATGGGATACAAGCTGTTCAATTCATTTGGTCTTTGATTCAAACTATGAAGGCTGGCACCAATGAGTATGGAAAGAAGCACTTTTGACCTTGTATCATGGGGCAAATATAACATTTCATGGCATATACAAAGCAGATTTTAAGAATTATGTTGCATAATTGGGATAAAAAAGACAGAGGCATTAACATTCTACTTTTGTATTTTGTGTGTTTTCCTTTCTGAACTGCTACTGTAATACTGGAACAGAATGATTATTCATTTCCAAGTCTGGCACCTAAAGCAGTAAAGAATAAGGCTGTGTCTCCATGTGAAATGCAGCAGTCAGCATTTCTTACATAGATGAAATAAGGAAAGATGTCAGGAAATAAGGACATGCCAAACTGGAACATACATTCTGCACATACTCTAAGGGACACTTCATGGTTTATCGTAAACTACAAAATAGCTTTTGAATAGCCCTTTATGTATGTACAGAAGGTATTCTGTTTGTTTGTTTTGGGTAAGAGAGGAAGACATGATGCTCAAATATTTTCTACTCTTATGATACAGAAAAAAATGCATGTGAATATTTTATTTCAAAATTCAAATAGAACAAGTGTTAGAAATCTACTACGATGTGATTCTGCATTCTCAATGTATGCCTGTATTTTGTTTTTAAAGAACAAAATTGGGTATGTGTTTTACGTATAATGACTGTGGAGATGACTTCATACGTATTTTCTTTTGCTTGTGAGAATGAGAAGATATATGCGCACACAATAGGGGTAGCATTGAATAAGAACTGAACATGTCTTAAGGAACAGTAACAAAAAGAGAACAATTTCCTTAACTTTAAAATAGAAATCATTGGTACTCTGCTTTCCTTCAAAAAGAAAACAAAACAAAAAAAACAGGGAATTGTTAACTGCCTCAGGCATATAAACATCCAGTCTGACAAAGACCTGTGCCTAATTTTATCTGTGAGAATAACCCAGTGGATGTCTTTGGAGCTAAATGTGTATCAAACAGTGCCTGTAGATATAGTACTGAAAACACTGGATACCATACTGTTTTAAGCAAAAATAACATCTTGTTTTTTAACCACTTGAAAAAATCAGCACTTGGATATCTTGTATTATTTGGCACAAGAGAGAAAGAAAATACATTAGTAGAACAGCTTTACCCAAAAATTTACTTGCTACCAGTTGGCAATTGCATCAAACTTAAAATTTTTTAAATTCCATAAAATTTTACTTTAAAAGAGCAAATTAGTAAATATTAGTTGTTGGTATTGATCTAATATGTTAAAACAACTGTTCAAAGGTTAGATTTTATAAATCATTATTTTCTAGAAGATTCCATATATGAAGGTTGAGAGTAAATTTGCAACTGTACCTGTGCTTTTTCCCTATCTATCAAGCTGATATCAAAAAAGCTGATGTCAAAAAGTCTGTGGTTCTAGGTCAATGAAAAGCAGAATTGGGCTGTTCTGTTTGGGCTGCTTTTCTTTCAGGTACACGTTCATGAAGTTTTTCAAGTTATCTTCCTAATCTCAGTGTAATAGAAGTCTGTCTGGATTTCCTCTGAGATCACAGCTTTCATCCTGTTATAATTCTCTTTGTCACTAACAGAAAAAGAAGTTTGAGCAGACATGCTTGAATGGAAAAGCAGCGAACTGTTGGTGATATAGCTGTTCGTTGTTCCTGGAGTACTCACTGCATCTTTTGGTTTAATTTGTGTAATATATGTAATCAAAAACAACGAAGTGACAGAACTGTGTTTGTAGATTCAGTAGTAAGACATACCTTGTTCTGCATCTCTGTAAATCAAGTGATAAACAATCTGGTGGTGCTTTCTCTGCAGGATTGACAACCTCTAAATGCCCCAGCAGGTACTTGTGGAGCTCATCACATTTTACTTGTAAAAAGGAAGCCATTCAGTTTTGCTGCAGAAATCTTAGAATGCTCTTGGCATTCCCTGTGTTTGGCTATAAAATTCTGACGAAGAATAGGACCAGAATGTTTCGTTAAGTCTCACTGGATCAGAGTCCTGTGGTATGGGTGGTTTTTCCTTTAACTTCAGAGTTGCTGTGCAGACAGGGGAAATTCAGATGAAATATCAGCAATTAATTCAGAGGCATACAGCATTCTACAACCTGAGATTTAACAGAACTTAAAAGGATTGGTGCTGGTACCAGTGTTATTTGACATCTTTGTAGGTGACATGGACAGTGGGATCAAGTGCACTCTCAGCAACTTTGTAGATGACACCAAGCTGAATGGTGCAGCTGACATAAGAGAGGGAACTGATGCCATCCAGAAGGACCCGGACAGGCCTCAGAGGTGGTCCATGTCGACCTCATGAAGTTCAACAAGGCCAAGTACAAGGTCCTGCACCTGGGTCAGGGCAATTCCAAGCACAGATACAGGTTGAGTGGAGAATGACTGGAGAGCAGCCCTGAGGAGAAGGATTTAGGGGTGTTGGTTGATGAAAGATTCAGCATGATCTGGAAATACAGCCCAGAAGGCCAACAGTACCCTGAGCTGCATCAACAGAAGTGTGACAAGCAGGTCAAGGGAGGTGATCCTGCCCCTCTACTCTGCTCTTGTGAGTCTCTACCTGGAGTACTGCATCCAGTTCAGGAGCCCCCAGCACAAGAGGGAAATCAAACTGTTAGAGTGGATCCAGAAAAGGGCCACAGAGATGATCAGAGGGCAGAAGCACATCCCCTCTGAGGACAGGCTAAGATCGCTGGGGCTCTTTAGCCTCAAGAAGAGAAGGCTCTGGTTGGACCTTATAGGGGCCTTCCAGTACCTGAAGGGGTACTTCAGGAAAGCTGGGGAGAGACTTCTTTTTTACAGGGTGGGGAGTAACAGGATGAGGAGAAATAGTTTTAGTTTAAACTGGAAGAGGTTAGATTTAGACTAGATATCAGGAAGAAGTTCTTCACCGTGGGGTGGTGAGACACTGGAACAGATTGCCCAGTGAGGTTGTGGATGCCCCTTGCTGGAAGCATTCAAGGCCAGGTGGGATGGAGCTGTGAGCAATCTGGTCAATAGGAGGTGTCCTTGTCTGCAGCAGGGGATTGGAACTAGATGGTCTTAAAGGTCCCTTCCAACCCAAACCATTCTGTAATTCTATGAATTCTTTGAGTGTTTTGTTGTTGGTTTTCTGGTTGTTTTTTTTTTTTTGCTGTTGAAAATACATGACCTGATTTTCCTCTATCTGCAGACTACACAGCAACTATATAGCACAAGTTTTTAAGAACAATGTGTTTTATAGAAGTTGAGATATTAAAGCTTAGGTGTCTGTATAATCAGAAAAATATTAGGCTGTTGTAATCACAAAATAAACGAGAGAGTAAACAAGGCAAAGTAGACTATGATAACAAAAGAGAATAAATAAAAGGCTTACCTTTATCCTGGGCTCACCCACAAAACACCAGCAGAGACAATCTCCAGAAGAGATCCTTCCCCACTGGTAGCCAGCTCTTAAATAGGTCTAGGAGGGGGGCAGCCAGGCTCCACCCCTTCTGGCAGCACAGGTGAATTGCCTTCACCTGTGCTCCTCTGGCTGACTCATGGCTCGCCTCTGGTGATCAATCAGAGGTTTGGGCCGTGACTCAGCAGTTCCCATAGAGCGTCCTTTTAAGAACTTGATCTACAAACATTTGGGTACACACACTTCTGTGTATTGGAAAACAGAAACTCTATTCTGAGGACTAGTAGCTTTAAGATTAAAATATGTCTTTTCAGCAGGCTCATAAAGGCTGGAGGCCATTTGAAAAGTTTGGGCTGAGCAACGGAAACAGTCTTCGTGTATGTAGGAGCTAGGCTCACGTACCACACTGCATGCAGTTTGGGTAAGCTACACACGCGTGTGTAGGCATTCTGTTTACATAAATGATACATTTTTGTTTGTGATGACCTGTAGAATAAGAAGTAGAGCCTAAACTGAAGAAATGTTAAAAATAGACTTAAGACCAAGCCTTCCTACTTCTCTGTGCAGCTGTTTTTATTCCCTCAAACTACTTCAAGGAAACTGATAACTTAGCTGAAGTTCAGGCAACGCAGTTACTAGTGTCATCTGTACACAAGAGATAACAGTGACGTAATCTTAGTGCAAAGGAAAAAAAAAGAAGTAACGTCACTTGTTTCTTGCAGTTTTTTCCTGAGGAAATGCATGTGGCTTGTGACTGTAATGCACCTATGAGCTTCACGTCTTAGAAATTCTTTACTATCTTTTTGGTTTTGCAAGCTATGATATATTGAGAACTATAAAAACAGGAATTCTGCATGTCGAACAGATTTTTCAATAGGAAAGCGTAAGTTGAACAGTGTGATGTTATTAATAGAGGTTAAAAATGTGAAAAAATTAAGATATCTTTGGTGTCCTATGTCTGTAATGCATCTAACAGTGGTCCTCAGACCTACCGTGTTAGTGGTTTGTTTGCTTTTTATGAAGAGTCAAACATTATCTTTTTTCCTGAAGCTTTTTTTTTTTTTTAAAAAAAAGGTAGTCTAGTCGGAACAAAATTACTAAGTACAAAGATATGATATGTAATGATTTGGTCCAAAACTTGGGCTGCATGTGCACCAAAGCCTGTAGAAGTCATGAAGCTGGACAAGAACAAGCAGGCCATTTGGCTCCACAGCGCGGTGTTGTGAAATTTGGCTTGGAAAAAGGGGAAGCATCTCACCAGTAGGTAAGCCAAGCCCTTCACTTCTGGCTCTATTAGTGACCTTATTACACAGACTGAAGCAGTTCAGATCATGCCAAAAATGAGAGCTGCAAATCTTCAAGGAATGTTGCAATCATGTGGGGAGGTATTTAGCAGGTTTAGACTATTCCAGAGCAGGAATTATATCCAAACTACATTTTTTGTCTTGGACATCAGTGTCCTTTCAACCTACTTTCAGTAGCCTAGCATATTTTGGGTGGTTTTTTTTGTGCTTCATGCTCTTGTTCCTTACCTAAACTTTCACAGTTCAGTGTATCTGTTCTGTGCTATGAAATGTAAACAGCGTTAGTGTAGTAAGCACCTTGCTAAGTATGATTCAATTTGGTGACACGTAGCTTTTAAACCTTCTGCCAACTAATTCCTTTCTGAGATGATCTTCAAACTGAGTACCATGTGTTACATTTGATATATCGGTTTATTAGAAAACATGAAGTTTGAATAGCAATTGATGTATATAATAATTCTGTGAGTATAATATGTAGGCTCAGGGGAAAATCCTAGCTTTCTGGTAGTTACTGAAGAGAGAAATTTAACTCATGCTTTTGGACTCAGTGTTTTTGTACAAAGTGTAGGTAAATGGAAAGAATTTTTTAAAAAAGACCAATATCAGTGTTGTCTTCTCAGAGCTAGGCTTCTAGAGTTCCTGATAGTAAAGTATTAGCATTGTTGTGTGTACTTCTTGTAGCCTGATCTTTGCAGTCTGCTGTTTTCTCATGGAAAGACAGGAAAAAAAAAAAAAAGAAAAAAAAAAAAGAGAGAGAGAATTCAGAGAATATCTTCGGGAATTTTAAATAGATTTAAACCATAGAAGCTGCTATACTGATTGCCTTGTGAAGGGTAACCCACTTGCTTGGTTACTGGTCTCCCTCCCTGGGGACAGTATGTGGCAGATGTCCCCACTGTCATTACTTGCTCGTTCTTCTCACAAGAAATGCCAGGGCTTGTGTGACTGCTGATCTTGGTTTTATCGTGTTGTATGAGGTTTGGGACCTTTTGCTGTCACTGATTCCCTTCCCTGAAATCAAACCTCTGCAAACAAGCTAGCTGTAATATCTGAGCATGTATCAAGTACTAGTGAGCGCACAATACTTAGAGAATTTTTTAAAGCACTCATGAAAGGTGTTTAAATTCCTTTAAATAGTGGGAGGACCCCAAAGAACCCACAAGAAACAGCTTTTTGTAAAGTATGAAATAAACATGTAAAGGTGCAGTGAAATCATCACGTTAGCTCCAGCGTCAGAGTGTGGCAGAAAAAATAAGTCCTGTGCTCTCTCTGTGCATGTATCTGTCAATATGTGCCGTGTTACAGATGTTATTGATCCAGAGCACTACACCGGCATGCCAGTACAGGCTGTACTCTGGCATGTGACTGCTCTGGGGCTGGCACTCTTTCCATCTTTCCTGAGTTTATCTCCTGTAAACTTTTTCCCTTATTGTGTTGTGGCTGAAGACCTTGCTCTCTTAAGTAGCTGGGCCCTCCTCCAGAAGAGATTTGACACACTGTGGGCTCACCTTCAGCTTTGGCTGAGGGCAGAGATGCTGGTGTGGTTGGTTGAATGTTTGAGAAGCCAAGTGGGCTAGAGCTGTGACTTTATTCCTTATATAAGGACACTGTGCTCGCTGCAGGATGTAAGCATTCCCCCCTACAGATACCAGGTTACAGACAGCTGGCACACTGCCTTCATGCCTGTGCTTGCACTTCCATGGGAAGAAAGTACCCTGCCTCCAGTTGTCAAAGAAAACTAAATGTGCACTGCTTGAAAAGCATATCCTGGATAAAAGCGCGAGAGATTTTTTTGTGGCTTGTGCAATTTGAGGAGCAAACATCGATGTTTACCCTGTGCCAAAATCTGCCCACATAAGCAGATCAGACTTTTTAAAAATGTTGTTCTGGAAGGTCAGAGACTATTTCGTTTGCTGTGGTTTTTTTGCTTAGTCAAGCAAAGTTCACAGGAGCCAGAGGAATGATTTGATTTCCAAGTTTTCTTCATTCTTCACTGTGTGCTTTGTTAAATACATCTGTGGTAGTCTCAGCTTTGCACAGTAGTGAAGAAGCTCTACCTTCTAAACAAGCAATAAACCCCTTTGTCAATTTTTAAAAAAATATCACTTCCAAATTACTGAATGAATGGCATCAAATGACTTCTCCTGAGTGTCTGTGTTATGTGCACAGAAGATGTGCAAGCTGTTTGAGGTATTGCTCTGTACCTTTTTGTGTGCAAAGGCTCTCCCACCTGCTACAACTCATGTTGCTTTTCTGGAGTCAGAGGCAGAACTTTGGTTTTAGACATATCCAATGTGCAAATGCAGTGTTAACAAGAGTTGACCTTCTGTAGTGTATATGCTTCAACCAGCGCTGAAGGATTACACTATTGTAATGGGTTAGGGCTGAGTCATGACACTGTCTCTGCACTTTGCCAGCAACCATTTTCAGCTGTATCTCTTTAACATAGTTTATTTGCAAAGAAGGAAGTAATTCCCTACCTGTCAAGGGTACTGTGGGTTTCCTTATGTTTGTGTTGTTTGTTTGTTTGTCGTTGTTTCAACTGAGTATTTCTGATAGACTCTGATAAGCTCTCTCAAATAACAACACTCAGCACGGGCCACTTGCTGCATGCTTATGTGGCTCACTGAGATACGGGCTGTCCCATGGCTCCTCTCCACCCTTTTTGTTTTCTTTTTCTGAT